TATAAATACGTGAGACAAACATACCCGCAGGCGATTTTAGCCAAAGTCTATCTACTTACAGAAGTCTTGCTACTTATAACAAAAAATAATTATTTCTTTACATTGAAATTTAATAATTTCACTCTTTCACGCAAAATCGAAATTTGATGAAACTTTACAGTACCCAGTATAGAATAACCCATAGGCTATAATTTAAAAATATATTATGTAAATTGGCCGATATATAATGATAAGTGTGATGCAGACGAAGTCGCGCGGGTCAGCTGGTACATTAATAATTACGTACACTGAATACCACCGTTTTATTGTGGGATAAAAAAATATTAAAATGCAACCTAGACCAACACTAATTTTAATGCGAGTTTAATTCGGTCGCCCAACGTTTTCTACGTGGAGGTAAAATATCATGCTAACCGGATATTATTCTAATTAATTAATTAATACAAAATAATCAAGTATACATAATTAATCAATTGATCAAGTTGCGTAACTGTCAATGTCGTCTTCATTTTCTGTTATATAACGCACAAATTATTCAAATTATTTTCTTAAATATTACATGTATATTCTGAATATCCATGACAGCTTGATTATGTTATAGGTATATCTACTTCACGTTTATTAACTTCACACTTATAAAATGTCACAAATAATGCATTTCAATCAATACTTAATATGTGTATATACCTAAATTGCAAGCTAATTTACAAAGTTTTGTAAAACATAAATAATTACATTAACCAGATAACTCAAATGACGTAACGTAAATCTCTTTGCAAAACAGTTAAATGGAGTTATTATCCACTCATGAACGAATCACGTCCCACGATGATATCAGCTATTCGATTAATGCGGCCATCAATTTGCAAATAGCCAAAATTGTTTTAACATATGAGGAGCATATAAACATGTGGTAAATACCTCACGCAGACATTCAGATCACGAATAGTAAGTATGTCTTGAATATTAACAGTCGATTACTGACCCCACTATTTGTTGACACTCCCAACAATGTTACGTTTGTATAAAAAAAAAATGTATGTTATTTTGTATACAAGTGTATCAAAAGTTACATGTGTGTAAATTGAGAAGGTTAATCACTAGCATATGTAATCGCATTTCATGTCTATAGTGCTTATTTTTTCAGATAATATCCAAAACAAGGAAATTCTAAATTCGCTGGTATTTTATGTCCTTTATTACAAAATATTTTCATCAACATTGTATCGGTTATAGTAAATATTATGTTGTTGTTATATATTTCATTAATAATCAATAATCAGGTTGATATAACTATTAAATGACTCACATATTTTAATGTGACGAAAAATTAAGAAATTATACTTTATATAATATACATGTCATTTTCTCCACAAACTATTTCCGATTGTATACGAAGTGAAATTTTATCAGACGCAATCCGGTGTTTATTTTAATTAGTACTTTCTAATGAACTGGTGATTTTTAAGCAGTAAATATTTATATATAGAGTAGATAGATATATTTGTATTCATTGGTAATTTCAAAGTGATTGCAAATATTGTGTGCAATGTATATTGGTATTCTGTACTCAAACTCGCATCCAATTTCTCTTGTGCATTATGAAAAACATGTTCAATGCCGTATTTTACAATATCATGTAAGTACCTAGCCAAGGTAAAGTAAAAAAGAACATTAGATATTCTACCTTCGGTAGTTACCTATACATTTTTAAAGTAAACGTAACATTCAACTGGTATTTCATTTCTAGATCCCAAGCTCCATCACCTACGTTTCGTTAATATAATTTCAATTTGCTAATTATTATTCATATAAAAAAATCTAAAAGAATATGTAAACAAAAATATTATTTTATTATACTTCGTAGTTCTTTAAAAACATTAGATGAATGTCATATGAAATATGAAATTATTTTTAAACCCGAGGTGTCAAAGGTTGATTAAATGACATAAGTCAGTAAGTAGTCCTGGAGCAGAATCACTTTTGGCATGCAAAAGTAGTAAAAAATATTTTATTTTATTGTTCTTCCCTGTTACTATATCCATTTGATTTTATGTGAATACAAGTTAACTAAAGTTTAACTACTGGTGTCAGACATACTTGCTATTACTACGGATGCACCCTCATTTACGACGACCGACGCTCGAAGCATGCTTATTACATAATATTAGCCACGATACGTTGCCCTTCACAGAGCAGTGCGGTTTATGAATTTACTCAACTGTGGGAAACTGGCAATGTGTTTGCTAGTTACTGCAGTTTGCAGACGAGACACTCTGGACCAATCTTATGACATAAAATTAAAGTCCAGACAGTGGTTATATGGTTTTAGCTATAATCTTTTTGGTACTCAGGCATGAAATCGTTCACTGAAGACACTAAATTAATATCTAATCTCTGTAATATTACTATTTGTAGATAACAAATAATTATAATTAGTAACGAAGTGCAGAAGTAACCGATATAGTTCGTGCATCGTAAATATGTTCACGATAAGGATTAACAAGCTAGAGTAACAGTGGGTGGGAAAGATGTTTTGTAGAAGTTTTTAGTAACGTAGAAATATATAGGATCTTTCTATATCTATAAATTTAAATACAAATTTAGAATAAAAAATATACATTTTTGATTAGCCAGTTACAACAGCCCGGATAGATATACTTAATAATAGAGTGAGTGTATATTACGATGTTTATATCAACAAAACGTAATAAAAATACAAGAATTCTTTATAAAAAGTAATAACTAAAGACTCAACAGTAATACTGAATAATAAATATTAATGAAATATTTATCAATTTCTTCACTATATTTCCGGTAATAACGAGGAAGAAAGCTTTAAGCACGCGAGCATTCTGGCTACTTATTTGTACCGGTTCAGTGCCGCCCATCCTACCATAGCGCACCCATCATAAAAATACACTATAATCGTTACAACTAAAATGATTCTTAATGAGGTACATATAAAGCATAATATTAATAAAAAAAATATAAGACATGTATGCTCCGCTTGGTTCCATAATAATTGTTCTCTAAGTGAACGAACTATGAACGCGGATATATAGTTTATTTGTGTAGCCATCATAAGTAAATTTATTCTAAGTAATAGCGGTATTTTTAATTTTACCAAATAGTTCGTAAGCAGAAGGCAAGCAGAAGTCGACAAACGAATTTAGTTCAACATGAAAGTACAATTATGATGCTTTACAATATTTGATTATGAGATCATTAACATAATGGTTTGTTTAGTTAACAAAAACAATACCTACTGCTTCTAGACTTACGACAGACCTCCCATAGGCACGTAGACACTGGGTAGATTTTTTATTGTCTATGATTATTGAAATAAATAGATTGCTACTGGATATATTTGCTTATTAGCTACTATCCATTGTAATATTTCAAATGCGAAAATTACTCTGGATATCTGTTACTTTTTTACATCTAAACCTCTGAAACAATGTTGATATTTTAGTATACAGATAGATTTAATCTTGGCGAAGAACCTAACTACAATTATTACTAAAATAAAACTTGAACTAACTGAAAAGTTTATCGGGAATAATATTATCTCAAGTAAAATATCTATTGCTCTATTATACTAATCGTAATACTAATTCTACGTAGCCGAAGTCGCAAGTAAAGCTAGTGCATTTATTATATATTCATACTTACTTGTCTTTATAGAAAGAGTTACAAAATTGTAACCGTTTGTAAAGTATGTCAAGTCTATAATTATGAATCATATTTTAAAAAAGAACAAACAACAACATCATCTAACTATACATACAGACCTCTACTACTGTTAAATGGTCCAAATTTTGCAAAGAAACTCATAACTTTAATGGATTTGTGACATCAACACTGTTGTTTAATTGTTGACTAGTACTGCAAAACAAAGTGGTTTTTAAAAAGCTTTTTAAAATATATGACAAACTTGACTCATCGTACGAGGTAATGATATCACCATTACACAAATCTAAATCAAATTAAAATACAGATATCCATTACAATTATGCGCATACATTTGTAGCTAGAAATGTGCCTTAGAATTTTGTTGTGAATATTCATAATAACTAGTGACAATAAGAAATTTGCAGTAGTTAATTAATATTTAATTGTAGTTTAGATAATATCAAAATATATAGATTAGTTAAGGAAAATAATGTTTGTGAAAATATTTAAACATAATTCTAGTTAACAAAATACTTATTTTTTACTGAAAATTCATATTACTTTTAAATCATCGAAAAAATTTTATTTATTTAAAATATACATATTACGTATATATGAACAATACATACCTAATATGTACTACTTAAACACCGCACTGTAAACTATTATTATCACCAGGTACCAATAACTTGAAGTATACTATAAAAACTAACTAATAGTCAAGTATTCCTATTCATTAACTGTTACATTACAACGGTTACATTATAACCCAGTTTGAAACCTAAAACAAACCACATTGTATTTTTGGTAACATTACATAAAAACGCTCATAACCAACTGTTATGCTATTTCTGATTCGCTTACTTATTGTATAACGCCAATTGTAATTGAACTAACTAAGCAAATATACTTAGTTTTTTCATTATCCGATCCTGATCCTGATCTTTTGGATGTTAGGTGTCTAATTCGTGCATTTCATATATTATTGGAATAAAACAAACAAATTTTAAGCGAAACTGACCACAACACATTAGTGACAACCGCAGTCAAATTGTATAATTCATTTCTGAGATTAACGCGCACAATCCATAGATAAAATATTGTTTATTTATTTATTTATTTATATACTCTTTATTGCACCAGGAAAAATTACATTAATAGAGTAATTAAAATAAAAGGGTACAAAAGGCGGCCTTATCGCTTATGCAATTTCTTGTTTTGTATTCTATTACGATGATAAAATCCACCCTTAATATATTTTCACATATATCTTCTATGTAAGTACCACCATACCAAACGTAAAACCATATTTTTGTTGATTGCAGATATGAAGATAACATCAACGGAAAATAAAATGAAGTCGTAAATAAGTAAGTAAGTGAATATACCTACCTTATTTAGTGAATGTAATCTTGTCATCTATAGAATAAAAATATTATAATTTATTTGGATCATTAACATACTTTTCTTGTTTACTTCTATTTATATTGTCTAATTCTATATGATAAGTAACGTAACATGAAAAACTTTTGATGTTTTTGATATAGCAAAGTAAATGTATAATAAGTTTATTTACATGAATCTTGACTAGATCATATATTTTTTACATACAATATAATAAGGTAACTGCAGTTTCATAAGTTACATAGCATGACATTTAATTTCATGCTAGATCTAATTGATAAGTTGTCTCAAACGTCGCCTGGTGACTCTCTGTAATAATACGGGAGCACAGGATGCGCATAGGCAATGTATAAATACTTTAAAAATACACGTACTCGTAGTAGTAATTCTACTACATGTAATTATATAAAGCAACCTATCTTTTTTTGACTATTTGATTAAGTACTTCTATACATAAAAAATCACAAAATATATTACTGACCAGTCAAACGTGATTTTATAATATACATTATGTATAGTAAAAAACAATTCTAGGTAGAGTTCTAGGTATATAAAAACTATCTATCAACCTATTTTTAGGCCTACCACAGTATACCAAATATTTAATCCAAAAATTTCTATTACCAATTTACATTAAATACAAAAAGATGGACTAATATTTTTTATAGAAAGCAGTGAAGCTGTTTGAAAGAGTTCATTAAGAAACATTATGATATGATTTTTTATATAAATAGTATTAGATTAGCATTTTTAATATGTACTGTATGCACGATTCTTATGTAGATACATGTACATAATCTTTACCAGTTTAATAGTAAGTAAAGTATTTAATGATACATACTTAAGTTACAGATAAAATTTTATTAACTAATTATATTAATGAAACACCTAATAAAAATATATAAGCACATATAGGTAAACAATATGCTGTTTCTTCTACTTTAAAAATTTTTAAACAGTATTTTGATATACATATAGTTTATAGTGATTTTACGCTGGTAAAGTTACTATTTTACTAGAGTGAAATCACTCGCACTTTTTACAGACAACCTCTGGGTAGTCTCTAAAAAGTCGTCTGCCTAGTTCATTCGCCAAGAAGCTTGCTTTGTAAGATCTATTATGATTGAAGGGTAAAGAGATAAGGCAGTGAAATTACAGTATATGAAGGCGTAACATCTTAGATTATGGCAATGGCAACGCATTACCATTACATACTGCCCACCTTCATGAAGGAGGACTACTGGCCGAAGGATGTGGTGTATCTGCGCTACCATGGCAAATAGCCGTCGTCAGTTCCGTGACCACAGGATCAATTTCAATATGTTAGTTTTATAATATTAACTCACATGAATGTTAGTCTGTAAGATATTCATAATATGGCCCTAGTAGCCTGTAATAAATAAATAGATAAAATTTAAATTACTAGCGTGACGTGATGTCGTAATATCCATAGTGCTGTTCATATACAGGTAGAGGGTTATCACATACCATCCGGTGGACCGTCAACTTGTATGGCAAAAAAATATTTTTATTACCACACAGCAGATAAAGTAATTTCAAATGTTGAAAAATTGAACAGGCAATAAATAAATTACAAAAGAGTATCATTCATGATTATAGTTTCGTAATGTAAATTAGGTTTTGCAGATCAGAAAACAATGCACGCATTGCATACTTTACAGCAATTAGAATCTCCTAAACTAAGGAATGCGAAATTAAATCAGTTTCCAATAACGCGTACAGATATACAAACGCTAATTGTTGGCTTGTTATGGATAATAACAATCCAGCCAGGATATTAATACTTGGGGCTAGTTACTTCATATATGGCCGTTTGCGACCGCTGTCAAGTATCAATTAGACTAAAGTAAATTATAGACTTATTAAGTTACAGCAATATGAAATGTAGATAGCTTCATGTAAATGGAAGGGTTTGGCTCATTAATAATTATGTCATGATAAATATCTTCTCGTTCATATTTTTAACATAATTTAATAGATCAATACAAGAATAGTTTATTAACTGATTTTGGATAGCACAAAGATTATGATATGTTTTTTAATTACCCAAAAAAACATTTGAGTATATTTTAGGTAATTCTATACCGCTTTGAAGGATTTTTGTAATCTAGAATCATACTGGTAGCATACATTGAATTAGGTAGTATATCATGTAATATCATTGTCTAATTCATTAATAAAGGTTCTATTTGTTTGTATGAATATATATGGGGTCTAAAGTGACTAACTAATTCATGGAAGTACAGTACTGATTAAATATTTTTTTATTATACGATAAAGATTTAGCATTGATTTTCTCGCCGCAATCACAATTAAACAGGAAGTAAGAGTTATACGTGGGCTCACACAAGCTGGTTGCAAGGTTGCATATGCTTTGCACGGTAATAATTTACATAAGAGACATTGACACATTATTACACGTCAAGTGTCGCGCCCTTTTGGATTTTCTTCGAACAATGTAGCATAGTTAATTTCAGGAAGTATCTTTATGTGGGTTATGAAGCTGAGCCACAATCTTTTAAGACACCCATATAAACTATCGTGAAATTAATAGCCGTCATAAAATTTACAGATTAAAGGGTATCCTTTGGTTTTACAGCATCCCATCTTTTAAAGTACAAAGTTGCTAACATTTTACTGTGCCTACGCTATTTATTTTTAAAATATCTTATCATATTTGCAGTTGTATAAAATAATTCCTATATTTAATTATGTCAATAATAATCAAAATTTTAACAAAGTTGTTTTTTAAGTGTTATTATTGGATAACTGACATGTCAAAACATTTAATTAATATTAAGTTTTTTTTTAATTATTTAAGATATAACAGATCTATAGCAAATGTATCAAAACAGTCGCATGACATTTTATTTAATAAAATTTAAACTGGATTTCATTTCCTAGATAACATGTGTAATAAATTTATAGTTTGAAACCGACAACAAATAATATATCTATAATTAAGCGGATAGGAAATATCATTATGAAATTAACAAATCCAATTTCTCGTAAATCAATATACGATATGGATGCTCATATTACAATTAATTAGGTAATTTAATATTCAAACATCAAATATTTATCGCGCTGCTCCTTATTGTATTTCAGTCAGTATATTCAATGTCTTTCCTCAAATATGTGTGATGTAACTAGGTACTTGTCCAGTTTATAAATATTTAGTAATTTAATTATTATTTATGCTGTTTTGACATTCGGTTTTACCTGTAATGTAACGCGGCAGTGAAGATATTACGTAAGTACTCAAATTCAAATTAAAAAAACATTTACTCGTGTAGGACATTTTAGCTGTTTATGAACTTAATTTATTTTGTATTATAATTTTTCCCTAACGTCCAGATCAGTATAGAGATTCAATTGAGAAGAACTAGCAAGAAAATTGCACGTTTTTCAATATATGTATTTCATCATAATGCCATTTTATTTTATTGAATCAAAACACTGAACTAAAGTTTATGTGCAATCTATGTATGTTGTAGATCTGGAGTAATCTTTGCATAGTATAAAATGTAGTCAATTCCGCTGTGTGTTCGCTTAGATCTTTTAAACTTCGCCACGGGTTTTTTTGCAGTTGTTAGCAAAAGATAGAGTGATTCAAGACGAAGGTTTATATGTATAATACTCGTACTTGTACACCCTTGCGAAGACGGACGAGGCGGATAGTAGTCGTTATCTAAAGTTTTTCTGAGTACCTAAATAGGTATCTGTAAGCTCTTACACAGATTTCTTTAGATAAAACCACAGATAACATAATATTGATAAAACTAACTTCATCTGCGTCAAATTCTCCGTTTGTGCAAATTTTTTCATTACATCTCCGTTCTTATCTTAGCGTTATATAGTCTAAAACATTCCCCGATAAATTTCAACTTGAATCAGTAGTACCTACTACACATTATTGTTAGTATCTCTTTATAATATTGGTATAGATATATTTAGTTATTCTATATGTTATAAAACACCATACGTTACAAACTATCAAAGCTGTCTTATTTGTGGTAGGTATATCATGTATGGATGGTCGTTACGTTACAATGGTAATCCCACTGTATCCAACCGCAAAGTGGCATTAGCTGCGTATGAGTGTCGGCACGCGATCGATGTCATACACGACGCTCCCAGTGCAACGTAGGCAAGCGCAGGCAATCATGCGCGCGCGCCTTCTGTGGTATGTGGTTTTTTACAGCCATTTGCAGGACAGTCAATAATCGACTGGTTGAGAACTTGAGTTTGCAGACAAGAAACTGTTACTCTAATATTCATATACAAAGTAGTCTTCATCATTATTATAAAATAAGATGATTAGATAATCAACAGCTTTATAGAAATTGCAAATCAAAATCTATACAATTATTATAGTAGCGAAAGAAGGATAGAGGAAGGCCATAACAGAGATGGATGGACTGTGTGAATGATATGATAAGAAAGGGAGTAAATAATGAGATGACTGCGAACAGGCCTGAATGGGAGAGTAAAACATTACGCCGATCCCAAGTAAATGGGATAAGGAAGAAGCAGATGATGATTATAGTACCGAAGTATAGTACGAGAAAGAAGTTTTAGTTTCATAATACAAATGGGAAATATTATAGTAATAAAAAAACACCTAACTACTTGTGTAACTTTATTCCTAGATGATCGTTAATAGGTATTACTGTGGTCAAGTAACATCTGTATCTATCCAACAGAGGATAACCTACAGTATATTATTATGACTAGAGAACTATATCAAATGTTCAAAATTATTGGTATAAGCCAAATTTGAACTTATATGAACGAATGTTGAATCTTAAGAGTCGAGATAATAAATTATATGCATATCATTTCTCTTAATTATTTTTCGATAAACAACAAAAATGCAAATCAATTTCCGATTAATATCCAGAAACGTAAATCAATTAACTTTGTTCTAAAAGAAATATTTGAATTTT